CCGTCCTGCGTAATACCATGACAGTTCCATAAATGAGATATTAATTTCAAAGTTGACCCCCCTACAATTTTTAATTGTGCATTACATTTTATACTAGAATCATTTAATACATTACAAGTACTATATGTAACTTCAATATTAGATTTTTCTTCAACTACTTTCTCTGATTCAAAATATTTCCATACCCAGCTTTTTTTTTTTGATCCACCATTGCGACCTAACCTTTCAGACGTTTCGTTTTCATTTTCATCGCTTGGGCTATCGGGTTGGTTAGTAAGTGATTCATCAAACGATTGGACTGATGAAGAAGATAGTAAATTGCCTTCTTCCATAATAATTTGAGGCTTGACCTTGCTAAAAAAATTTAATAAGAGCAAGATCAAATGTATATATTTGTAATATTTATTTAATTAATCACTAAAGATTTAGTTAAGCGAATAATAACTGAAATATAGCACAAATAATGACCACCATTGCATTACAAAAGACCCTTTATATTTTGTTTTCCTTCATTAACTCTGCTTCATTTTTATGGGGCCAGTGCATCAATGACATATTATGGAATGATACGTGCGGGAAATCTAGAAACTTCAATCACTTTATATAGAATAAAATTCTGCTGACTCATTGGGGATAAGCTAAATTTGTCATTCTCAGTAGCGGCTGACCTTAAATTTTAGCAGTATATGCATGGAATAATTGCTATTTAGTACATATTATTTTGGCGTACTCTTCACTTTATTGAGATTGATAACTTAAGAAATTTATTTCGATGTGCTACCAGTTTATGTATTATCCTTATATGGAGATTGAGGTTTTTAAATTTCTTGCACCGTACGTACGTACGCTTTTCAACCATTCAGAGATTAGCTTTCACGCACTCAAATATACCATACATGATTCTGTTGTTTTTTTTTTTTAAATACATACGCGCTGTGTTATGAATCATAAGACAGTGCGTATGTATTTAAAAAAAACATTGCATTATAACTGCATTTGAGACAATATGTAAAAAAATAACAGAATCATGTAGCTAGAGTTGCAGACATTAGAATATCAATTAACATATACTATGGCGTATTGACTGACGTATTTGATATGACGTATTAGATATGACCAGTGTTGTCAATTGGAAGCTTCCAATTAAAATTCAATTGGAATATGGAATTGGACCAATTGGACCAGATCCAAATGGGTCCAATTCAGATTGACCAATCAAAATTTTGTACTACTTAAGTAATCCAAATTAACCAATCAAATTAGCACTCGGATAATGTATACCAGGTCTGTGGTGCAGGCAAAATTCTTAAAATTCTGTTAGGTCAGGGTTAGGAATTAGAAGAGGATAGTTTATATAGTAAAATTGTCCAACGAAACCTTTTTGCTAGAACACTGAATGTGGTTTCTTATGCTGATTTTTGAGTTATGTGCGATTTTTGGAAGAACGAACGTTTACACCTAATCTTGAAATCTGATTCATAGTTCAGGAGATTACGTCACAAACCTGGTACACATTATTCGAGCGCTAGGATTTATTATATAAATAATTGTATTATATATTAAATACGATGTTTGATAATTATGAATACTGTAATTTCATTGGATAATATATAGTTCACGCGACAGAGTTTATTTTCTTGATAAAATTTATTGGACCAGTTTTCCATTTAAATTTATTTAGATCAATTGGAATGGTCCAAATAAGATTTATTCCAATTGGTTCATAAGTCCATTAACTTGACGGTATAACACTGGATATGACGTATTACCATTATATAGAAATTTTATATGACGTAAAGGGTGATGTAAAAAAATAACTACCTTTGACTTTCTAAATGTCTGCAACTATACTCACAATTATAAGACCATATTTAAAGAGTTTCACATGCAATAATAATTTCGCACACAACAGTTGCTGCATAATGGCGTGCTAACTATAAAAAAGGAACCTTTGATTGTACTTGACTAAAAATTGTTTGGTTTATCGATAGTTCAAGTTAGTTGCGAACCTGCATATTACCATTGCAAAGACAATTGTAATATGCGGGATTCAAAGGATTCGCAGAATTCGATTGTTGCATTCCACAGAATTTTAGCGCATTTGTTATATATGATGATAATGTAATAAGAACGGCTGCCATTACGAATATAAAAGTAAAGACAATCTTTAATTTTTTTCTTGGTTTATCCCTTAAGTTTTTTAAATATTTTATGATCTATGACCCTTAAGCTTTTAATTTTTTTCTTAGTTTATCCCTTAAGTTTTTTAAATATTTTATGATCTATGACCCTTAAGCTTTTAAGTTTTTTTTTCAATTTATGGCCCACAAAGTTTTCTAAGCCTACTCTAATGCTATGTCAAATTTAAGCTATTCTTATCGCTATATTTTTTGTCAACACAATATATCTATATAAATACTTATGCTTTCGCCTATAATTTAAATAAAGAGATTTAAGTTCTTATGGCTATGATGTTTACCTAGAACGTAGCACCCGGATGTTTGCTTTCAGTATGGTAATACAGAAATCCTTTCACCAACTCCCGCCAGTCAACAGCCGTATTGTTCTGAATGCCACACTACTGTTAAAATTATAAAAGAAAAGGCAAGGGAAAAAAAAACAAGTAAATAAAGACAATAGCAAATGTTATTCGTAGTCAAATAATTGAAAGAACGGTATCAATATCGTAGTGTATATCAAATCAAAGGGTGAGATAATTGTATGAATATAATTGTTGTTCAAATTACTGAATTATTATACGATGTAATTTATTAACAAAAAATTATATCTATTCTTATAGACTAAATGTTTTTACATTTCAAATTTAAATTATTGTATATGTGTAAGAATCGAAATTGTGAGTTCAAAATTTTACTAGACATGCTGGTATATGGGTAAAGGGAGTTTGAAATAATGAAAGGATGTAATTGTCTAATTGATTCAGAGAATGCGATGATAAGTCCATTGAAGCGAAGCATATGCAAAATTTTACAATGTATGGGTTGTATTCGAAATTCAATGATACGATATTTCAATGTGTCTTATTATTAAAAGATTGAAAGAAAGTAATAGTCAGGGTGTCCGATAAGGAATCAATATAACTATAGATACAGAATAAAAAATCCAATTATTATGGATCGTTTGAGGACCAAGTTGCATATCTCTTGAAACCTCTCAAAGGTATGAATGTTAAAATTTGGATAAAATAGAAACACGTGATATGCCATGCGTGTAACATAGATAATCATTATAATATTTGTTAAATATTATGATTTTGTTAAAATTTTAGGTCAAGGCAATAAACAAGGAAAGTGCGATAGACAAGGGAAATTCAAAGAAAAGACATAGGTTTCCTCTAGAAGACAATGAAGAAGTTATTTCAGAAGCTGAAGACACCAGAACGCAAGCAGCAACAACCATTACCACAACAACGGATACCTCTAACTCTCAAATTTCAACGGTTACCATTACACAACAATCAAGTTCAAAAAATATCCAGCAAAATAGACGCCCATTTTCTGAAGTATGGGATTACTTCATTAAAGGAACTGAAAAAAACAATGGACACTATGGGGCAACTTGTAGTTATTGTGGGAAAATATGGGCACGAGGAAAACCAACGCAATTAGAAGCGCATTCGGCAAACGAATGTGCCGGTTGTCCAGATGATATATCACGTTATTGGTGCGAAAAGGTTGCTGAAAGGGATATAAATTATACTCGAAGATCAAAAAAAAGCTGTGTTCTACCAAACTCCATGCCACAAGCAACAATAACATCCCATTATATGTCAGACCGTCTACTATCAAAGACTATTAATAACCGTCTTGATCAAAAAATAATCAAAGCCTGGGTAATGGCGGGAATTCCTTTTGAAATTATTGATAATCCATTTATTCGAGACATGTTCAAGGAATTTAACCCTGCATACAACCCACCCTCAAGAACAACTTTGTCCAATTGATTGTTTGATGAAGAATTAGCACGAGTAAATAAAGCAATTGATGATGACTTAAGTAAAGCAGATCATTTGACCTTAGGTTAGTATTAACATGTAATCTTTTAGTATGAAGCATCCTATAAAACAGTATTAATTTTTTAATTACTAAGTTTTAAAATCATTAATTTTATTATAAAGCCTTAGACGGCTGGATGTCATCATCAACGGATTCTATTTACAATTACATTGTCACGACTGATACTCGAAAAGAATATTTAATTGGATTAAAAAATTATTCTGATCAATCTCTCACTGGTGAATTTTTGGCAAATGAAATATCAGAGGTTATTGAAAATCTTGGCACAGACAAGTTCGCGGCTGTCGTAACAGATGCTGCATCAAACTGTAATGCCGCATGTAAGAAAACACAAGAAATGTATCCACATATCTGGAACATCCATTGTGCTGCTCACACTATCAACCTTATTGCAGCTGATTTGGTTGAATTAGAGAGCATAAAAAAATTAATTAATGATTGTGGAAAAATCAATCATTTTTTCAAAAATTCTCACGCAAGCAATTCATTACTTACAAAAGGACTTGTGGATATGAAAATTAAAGGTGGTGGGCTAAAAACATGGGTAAAAACTCGCTGGGGATCCTTATATTCAACCACTGACTCAATGATTCATGCACGTCTGGTATTTGACTGGGTAAGCCAGTTAATATAATATTATTGTAAATTGTGAGCTTATATTGGGATTTGGGTTTCCTCATTTAAGCCTATAATACTTACTAAATTTTATATATACTGGTACTCTTTTATTATTAAAATAATCTAAAGTCCCAGCTTAAGCGCCACATAAATTATTATTATTAAATAAATTTTGTTATTACGTAGATGCTTGCTGACCATGGCGAATCAATTACTAATACAGAAGTTAGTAATTTGATATCTGATGAAAGTTTTTTTACTAGCTGTCATTTTGTACGCTCAGTGTGGGAACCTATCAAAGAAATTATTCATATGTTAGAAGCTAATAATGCAACATTAGCTGATTGCTTTGTTTATTTGATTAAGTTAGCCGCAGCAATTAATAACTTATCTG